ACAATACGCCGCTCCTTGCATTTACACATGCCACGCCCATACAATACGCCGCTCCTTGCATTTACACATGCCACGCCCATACAATACGCCGCTCCTTGCATTTACACATGCCACGCCCATACAATACGCCGCTCCTTGCATTTACACATGCCACGCCCATACAATACGCCGCTCCTTGCATTTACACATGCCACGCCCATACAATACGCCGCTCCTTGCATTTACACATGCCACGCCCATACAATACGCCGCTCCTTGCATTTACACATGCCACGCCCATACAATACGCCGCTCCTTGCATTTACACATGCCACGCCCATACAATACGCCGCTCCTTGCATTTACACATGCCACGCCCATACAATACGCCGCTCCTTGCATTTACACATGCCACGCCCATACAATACGCCGCTCCTTGCATTTACACATGCCACGCCCATACAATACGCCGCTCCTTGCATTTACACATGCCACGCCCATACAATACGCCGCTCCTTGCATTTACACATGCCACGCCCATACAATACGCCGCTCCTTGCATTTACACATGCCACGCCCATACAATACGCCGCTCCTTGCATTTACACATGCCACGCCCATACAATACGCCGCTCCTTGCATTTACACATGCCACGCCCATACAATACGCCGCTCCTTGCATTTACACATGCCACGCCCATACAATACGCCGCTCCTTGCATTTACACATGCCACGCCCATACAATACGCCGCTCCTTGCATTTACACATGCCACGCCCATACAATACGCCGCTCCTTGCATTTACACATGCCACGCCCATACAATACGCCGCTCCTTGCATTTACACATGCCACGCCCATACAATACGCCGCTCCTTGCATTTACACATGCCACGCCCATACAATACGCCGCTCCTTGCATTTACACATGCCACGCCCATACAATACGCCGCTCCTTGCATTTACACATGCCACGCCCATACAATACGCCGCTCCTTGCATTTACACATGCCACGCCCATACAATACGCCGCTCCTTGCATTTACACATGCCACGCCCATACAATACGCCGCTCCTTGCATTTACACATGCCACGCCCATACAATACGCCGCTCCTTGCATTTACACATGCCACGCCCATACAATACGCCGCTCCTTGCATTTACACATGCCACGCCCATACAATACGCCGCTCCTTGCATTTACACATGCCACGCCCATACAATACGCCGCTCCTTGCATTTACACATGCCACGCCCATACAATACGCCGCTCCTTGCATTTACACATGCCACGCCCATACAATACGCCGCTCCTTGCATTTACACATGCCACGCCCATACAATACGCCGCTCCTTGCATTTACACATGCCACGCCCATACAATACGCCGCTCCTTGCATTTACACATGCCACGCCCATACAATACGCCGCTCCTTGCATTTACACATGCCACGCCCATACAATACGCCGCTCCTTGCATTTACACATGCCACGCCCATACAATACGCCGCTCCTTGCATTTACACATGCCACGCCCATACAATACGCCGCTCCTTGCATTTACACATGCCACGCCCATACAATACGCCGCTCCTTGCATTTACACATGCCACGCCCATACAATACGCCGCTCCTTGCATTTACACATGCCACGCCCATACAATACGCCGCTCCTTGCATTTACACATGCCACGCCCATACAATACGCCGCTCCTTGCATTTACACATGCCACGCCCATACAATACGCCGCTCCTTGCATTTACACATGCCACGCCCATACAATACGCCGCTCCTTGCATTTACACATGCCACGCCCATACAATACGCCGCTCCTTGCATTTACACATGCCACGCCCATACAATACGCCGCTCCTTGCATTTACACATGCCACGCCCATACAATACGCCGCTCCTTGCATTTACACATGCCACGCCCATACAATACGCCGCTCCTTGCATTTACACATGCCACGCCCATACAATACGCCGCTCCTTGCATTTACACATGCCACGCCCATACAATACGCCGCTCCTTGCATTTACACATGCCACGCCCATACAATACGCCGCTCCTTGCATTTACACATGCCACGCCCATACAATACGCCGCTCCTTGCATTTACACATGCCACGCCCATACAATACGCCGCTCCTTGCATTTACACATGCCACGCCCATACAATACGCCGCTCCTTGCATTTACACATGCCACGCCCATACAATACGCCGCTCCTTGCATTTACACATGCCACGCCCATACAATACGCCGCTCCTTGCATTTACACATGCCACGCCCATACAATACGCCGCTCCTTGCATTTACACATGCCACGCCCATACAATACGCCGCTCCTTGCATTTACACATGCCACGCCCATACAATACGCCGCTCCTTGCATTTACACATGCCACGCCCATACAATACGCCGCTCCTTGCATTTACACATGCCACGCCCATACAATACGCCGCTCCTTGCATTTACACATGCCACGCCCATACAATACGCCGCTCCTTGCATTTACACATGCCACGCCCATACAATACGCCGCTCCTTGCATTTACACATGCCACGCCCATACAATACGCCGCTCCTTGCATTTACACATGCCACGCCCATACAATACGCCGCTCCTTGCATTTACACATGCCACGCCCATACAATACGCCGCTCCTTGCATTTACACATGCCACGCCCATACAATACGCCGCTCCTTGCATTTACACATGCCACGCCCATACAATACGCCGCTCCTTGCATTTACACATGCCACGCCCATACAATACGCCGCTCCTTGCATTTACACATGGCACGCCCATACAATACGCCGGTCTTTGCATTTACACATGCACACTCGCCTGTAGTGTAATGTGTCTATACAATCCTCTGGACACAAAGATGCAAAAGCTGGGGTTCCCGGGCAGCACAAACACAAACGTATTTCCCGCTGTACCCCATACGTGTGTATTTGGGAAGGGGCCCTTAGTGGGGTCTGATTGGGGAAATCACAAAGCGTTACAGGAACAATGGCGTGCTTGTAAGAATTTCCAACATTTCAAAATCATTTCCCATGACACTGCAACCTGCTTACCCGTCACACATAATATATCTACATGTCATGTGGTGGGCCTGGTACAGGAGCCTCCTAGAGTGAGTCGTCATACAAGTAGAAATCACAACTCAGATTTGTATCCAATAGGAAAGAACCATCAAATGGTGCCGAGTCATAAAACCCATCACAACCAAGACTGGAGCACCATCCACCCAGAACAGAACCAGCAGTCTACTCAACCAACAACATACTGCTTCCATTTCACCCAAGCCTGCAGGACATGTGACCAGTGTGTGGCCAGCTTTAAACAGCTCTGCATTTTTCCTGCATGCGTTGTCCATTAAAATCAATAGAAACACATCAAAATGCATCTCAATGCATTAATACGTCACACATGTAAACATGTCACGATGGACACTAATATGTCATAACACATGTAAACATGTCACGATGGATGCCAATATGTAATAACACATGTAAACATGTCATGATGGACGCCAATATGTTATAAAACATGTAAACATGTCATGATGTGCGTCAATATGTCATAACACATGTAAACATGTCACGAGATCCATGAATATGCCATAACACATGTAAACATGTCACAATGGATGCCAATATGTCATAACACAAGTAAACATGTCACAATTGGCTTCAAATTTGTCATTACACATGTAAACATGTTATGATGCACGTCAATCAGTCATAACACAACACATGTAAACATGTCACAATGGGCATCAATACATGATAACACATGTAAACATGTCACAATGGGCATCAATACATGATAACACATGTAAACATGTCATGAATAACACATGTAAACATGTCATGATGCATGTCAATATGCATTTTGACATTCAGTACAAAGAGGGAAATTCATCAAAACTGGAGCAGCCAAAATTTGGAGCAGTTGCCCATGGCAACCAATCAGCTTCTAACTTTCATTTTCAAAGTTTACCTGAGCAAACTAAAGAGAGAAGCTGATTGGTTGCTATGGGTAACTGCTCCAGTTTTGATATCTCCCTCAAAGTGCATTGTAACACACACTACAGATGTGTGACAGTGCACGCCGACATGCGTGTTGATGCATTTCCATTGATTTAGAAAGAAAACGCTTCAGGGGGAAAATGCATGGATGTAACACGGCCTTTACTGACTGCACAACAAAGCAGAAGATCTAAGAAGTGAATTTGCAATACAAAGAAAATAATTTTATTGCTGAGTTGGTCAGTTGGGAAACACGTGACCATTTCCAGAGGGAGAGGAGCAGTAATACAGAAGACACGGGGCTCCCCTCCCCCTCTATCCATTCCTGTCACCAATGTCATGGCGGAAGAATACACAGCAGCATTTCGGGTCACAGCACTTCCCATAGAGGTCTGTGGGCGGAGCGATACCCCCAGCGGAATTTAGGTACGAGGAACCGTTTAATGAGTGGGAGGAGCAGACGATAAAGTCCCCCCGTGTCAGGAAAAGCAGCGCCGCCCCCTTCCCCCCCATATCCATAACGTCCACGTCAGGTGACCTCGATGGTTGAGGGGCACTAATTACCCAGAACCCCACGGGGCAACCATGCCTGCACGCGCCTCCCTTCTCCCCGGAACCCAGAGAGCGGGGGTGACGCCGCCCCGTGCAGGATGCTGCGCAATGCGCCGCTGTGCTCCCGGCATGAAACTCAATTAAGGCGATTAGTGAAATTAATTAATCTACCTTCACAGGAAGAGGGGCCTGGCCTTACAATAACGGAGAGCTGCGGCAGGCCCCCCTTTCTGCCAATGGAGGAAGGGGAGGGGAAACTAGTTCTATAAGGGGGATCAATAGGCACGTCTGGCGACCAGTGGCCCTCCGGCAGCCGAGGCACTACAAGCACCAGCGTGGCCGCGTTCCTCCGCCGCTGGAGGGCCGCGGGGAGCCCGTGCAGGCGAGCACAATGAGCAGACACAAGAGCCGGTACTCACCCGGGCCATATGGGGCTGCGTGTCGGTCCGGCCGGAGGAGAGGGAGGACCAGAGGATGAGCAGAGCCAGGAAAGTGGCCAACACCAGCAGGCTGCGCAGGAGGAAGCCCGGCTTCAGCCTCATTGCCGCTTCGGGGAAGCCGCGCTGTGTGCACCGGGAAGTCTCACGACTGCTGCTGCCGATGACGGGCTGTGTACACCCTCGCTGACCTTCCTGTGCACACCCTCACTGACTTGCTGCTGATGGGCTGCGGGCACCCTCACTGACCTGCTTGTGCACACACTCACTCACTTACATTATCCACACACACAATGCCGCTACTTCCTACGAGCCCCTGACATGGGATCCCTACTGATACTCCAGCACACACACACAGGCTCGATGAAAGCTGAGCAGCACGATCACACCAAGCTACCAATCTGCCCTAACTGCTACTTGTTACCACCGAGACCTTGTGGCCGGATTCTACGCTGATCTTATTACACACACACAGCGATCAGCACACGATCAGATCGCTAGCTATGCTTTTCCCGTGTGTGCCCCCCAGTACAGATCCGTCTGCCTGCCCTGACCACCTCTGATCCCTCATCCACACAGGTGTTCAGCTCCTCTGTGTATCTCCACCCTCCCTGATCACTGTCCCTGGCTCCTTCCCCCTCTGCTGCCCCCAGCTTCACCCCGCCTCTGCCAGACATAAAACTTTTCTGCCGTCCTTCCGAGGTGTGACCGGCTGCTGTCACTTGTGCACGACGTGTCTCCTACACCTACCTGCTCCTTCTACTCTGGATTTATCATTCAATCACAATTCCCACCCTCCTACTCCTCCCACCCTTCCCTCTCTCATCTGGAGCACATTTTCATGCATCCCAGCATTGCTGCTTCCTACTAGAGGGTCTTCCTTCTCTTTTCTGCTTTATTTCTACTAAAAGATCAGAGCAGAAAGAATCTGGAGCAGCTTTGCAAAGTAACCAATCAGCTTCCAGCTTTCCTTTTCAAGACTTAACTGAACAAGCTGAAGACAGAAGCTGATTGGTCACTCTGCACAGCTGCTCCAGGTGTGTGTTTTATATAGATAGATCATGTATATATTTAAAGATACTACAGGATCTCATTAAATGTTTGTATAGAGAGAGATGATGTCATTAAATTAATGTAGAGGGAGAAACTGAGACTTGATGTAATTGTGTGTAATATATTTAGTAAACGTCCCGTTATCCAGCATCCATGAGGATTAGTAGATTCCAGATAAATGTAGTTTCTGGTTGCTTGAGAGTTACTATTAAAAATAGGTCTAACCAATGTCATAATCCATACTATACCACAACATAAACTCTATATTGACTTCATATTAATATTGAAATGTTGTAATCAAAAGGAAACAAAGACAAATATGCAGATGATGAGAGTTCTGGTGAGTTGAATACCAGATAACAGAGTTTACTGTGTGATGTCCTTAAAGTGGTATTAAAGTCTCCATTTATTTTTACATATGCCTATTTCAAGCAAGCAGTAGATATATGCCCCAACATGTATTAATTTGCATGTGTCTCGCCGCTCGCTCCCGGCTGCAGAACACAGCTTCCCGAATGGCCATGCCCTTGATATCACCGGAGGAGGAGAGACAGTGTAAGAACGCACGCCATGTGGCACAGAAAGAAATAGGAGTCGGTGCAGGATTACAGAGCGCCACCAGCAGGGAAGGGACTGTTGAAAATGAGAGGGAAGGAAGAAGATGTTGGCATTAAGAGGCATCACATAAGGTAAGTACTTACAGCAGCATTAGTGGGGGGAATTGCCTTTAATGTCACTTTAAATTATCTCTCTCTCCTTAGACACTATCATTGAATGTCATTGCTGTATCCCTGCTCTCTACACCTGCTGCAGAATCTTATCACCTCTTCTGGTTGTTTTTTTTTTTTCCACCAACTTCACATTGGACTGATCAGGATGTGTACCAGGAAGTCTACACGTTGTAGATCTACGTGGCCACTAATAGTTATCAGAAGGAATTTTCCACCCCTAGGTACCCCACCCTTCTCTGGCGAAAGAGCAAGCGCTGGCCGTCATAATTAGTATTATGTGACATTCCTATAAAGGTGCATTTGCTGTGACCTGCAAAGAACGGTTGAAATGTTACGCTAACATAATAAAATGTGTTTATTTGTGTACATTTTTTTATACGTCAATATTATGGAGGGTTATTTTGTGGGTGTTCAAAGCTGTAGCTTTGTTCTGATATTGCAAAGTTTCAAATACATTGCGCAGTTTATCAGTGTCATTTTTTTTTCGACCACCACAAATTGGCAGCAAATTATAAATGGCCTTGTTAGGCTGAGTGCTGTAGGCTGCTAATAGCTAATTATGGGATACTTTGTTGCTCTCCGCACCATGTGTATAAATGAAAGTTATACTGCCGTCTTGCCAGACGCAGATTGATCACTTTTGCTCCTTCCTGCTTGACTAAGTGCGCCACATGAAGTTCCATGCCACAACCCGCTAAGATGGCTGCGTCAGTTCTACTGTCCTGCGGGCCAGTTGGCAAATAAAAGGGTGGGCTATATAACCGACTCACTTGGCAATATATATTTTAAATTTGAGCTCCGGGCACAAAAACTTTCAGGTATTCAGTAGCCACAAAGGATATAAATCCATTTTGCACCAAATGCCTTTACAAACAGCTTGTCAAGCAGCAGTGACATAATCACTGTGCTGTACATAGCCTGTGCAAAGAGGAGAGCTGTGGGAGGGACTCAGCAGGCTCCACCCTCTACAGGCTGCATGCAGAAAACTACAGAAGGGACGGAGATAAGACCGATCACTGCACGCAGCAGTAACTGGTCTATATTACTGGATTAGTGCACAGATCTGGAAGTACACTATACACCGTAAGAATCAAGAAATAATGCACACACCTCTTGTATTTAGAACATATTTGCTTATCCTTGAGTTCAGCTTTAAGTGTAAGGTCAGTTTTAACAATCAGTCTGCACCGCACCTTCCACAGGCCCTCTTGATTACTGCTAATATGAACATTGTGCCTTACACTACCAGGCTTACTTAGGTCCTGACAATGTTTGCGTTATGGCTCCAGCCTTTATACCACCATATGTCAGTCCTCATACTCTGAAATGAACACGTGTACTGTCTCCATACTCTACACCAGACTTTCATAAGCAAGGCGCCTGCTGGCTTTCTCAGGGGTGCCTCAGATTTTGTGATGGTAGGACTCTGATATGGAGGGGGCTCCTATTGTGGCGAGAGAACTCTGATGTAATAGGGAGGGTTTGCTATAAGAGGGAGGCTCTGATGTAAAGCGGGATCCTTATGTGAAGAAGGTGCTTCTGATGTGATGACGGTTCTGATGTAAAGGGGGGCTCCTGATGCAAAAAGGGCACTGATGTAAAGGGGGGCATCTGATGTGATGAGGGTTCTGATGTAAAGGGCGTTACTAATGTGAAGAGGGTTCTGATGTAAAGGGAGTTACTGATGTGAAGAGGGCTCTGATGTAAAGGGAGTTACTGATGTGAAGAGGGCTCTGATGTAAAGGGGGTTACTGATGTGAAGCGGTTTCTGATGTGAAGAGGGTTGTGATGTACAAGGGAGCTTCTGATGTGAAGAGTACTCTGATTTAAAGGGGGGCTCCTGATGCGAAGAGGGCACTGATGTGATAAGGATTCTGATGTAAAGGGGGTTACTGATGTGAAG